AAAAAAAAAAAAAAAAAAAAAATCCTTGCTGGAAAACTTTCGAGGAGTTTTTTTTTTTTTTTTTTTTTTTCAGCATTAGCTGCCTCTGCTCCAGTTACTTGGTCCTGTCATTACATGCCTGTTTCCCTACTGCAAGCCAGTGTCAGTGTCTCGGCTTAGCTGCACGCCGACGGGCAGGCCCAAGTTTGGTTCTGTAACAATGAGAGCCTGTTGCTGACACTTCGTGTACACACAACCCAAGCGACTCCCACAGAAGCAGCCTGGGGAAGGCCATTATCTGACAAAGTAACACACCCTCAAATGATTTTTCAATTGCCCTTTGCACGGCTGGGGCTGTGGTTACTGCCCCTCCTCTCTGGTGGTTGAAATGAAACAGAAGCAATTAAACAATAAACACGAGTTACTGGCTCTTCGGGAGCTCCCAGAGTATTGATTCAAGTCCTACAAGAATATATTGTCATCCTCTTTGACTTATCTGGGACTGTATTTCAGCACTAATTAAAGTTCACCTGGGGAGTGTTCCTTTGAATATAAAGAGCTCTTGGACACCAGCACATTCAAGAACAGTTGCTTTGCTGAGAGAAGGTGAGGACCTCTTGCAACTGAAGCTCTCTGGTGCTGCAGGCTCCTCGCACGTTGTGTATCAGAAGCAGTGTTGTCAAAATTGCACACTGCTGCTTTATTTAGACTTCCAAATAACACTTTGATCTAATGAAATGGACAGTGTCCTTATAGCAAAGGGAATTTTCTTGGCCCACTATTGCTTCATTGTTGATAGAAAGCCAACCACTGGATATTTTTTCATTAATGGTGTTACAGTCAAATCTAAATGGAAAATACAATAAAGTCAGTTATAATTTGCGTTGACCATAGGCTGTCTCATTATTTGGAGGACAGATTGCTTCCAAGAGCTGTGCTGCCCTCAGTTTTGTGATATTAGTGATCTTGCCTTGATGAAATTTAATACCATTTGGTTTAAATGCAAATGCTAAAATAAATAATTGCTTTGCTGTGGGCGGCAGTTGAGCAGGCTGAGAATATCTTACTATTAAGCACACGGGTAAGATGAATGTTTTCAAGGAAAAGCTTGATGTGTTATCAATTATTTCATGTACAAGAATTAACAGAAAAGAATGCTTTTTATAGCAATTTTCTTTTCTCCAGCCACACACTAGAGGCTATCATTAGTCTGACTTGCAAAGCATCCTGATCTCTCATATGGATAGTGTTCATTCACTAACTGTTTTCTCCAGCCACACACTAGAGGCTATCATTAGTCTGACTTGCAAAGCATCCTGATCTCTCGTATGGATAGTGTTCATTCACTAACTGTCTTCTCACATGTAATACGGTTTCTTAGGCAAAATGCATGTTGTGTGTGTGTGTGTGTGTGCTGTGTCTTTGTGGGTGTGCCATGTCTTTCTCCCTCATGCTATGCCACCTTCCAGGAGAATTTAATTTCTGTCGACCTACAGGCTTCCTACTCACATGGACAAGGCAGAGAGGTCCTCAGAGCCTGCCACAGTGAGGTCCTCCCTCCAGATGGTGGAAATGTGCCCAAACACTCCTAGGGGAGGCAGCAGCAGAACTGTGCACTAGCAAGACTCAGCACTGGGCAGGAGTCACCACCTGTCCATCCTCTGCCCTGTTCAGTCTCTGCTGCACCGTCTCCTGGCACTCCCCGCCTCTATCCAGCCTTCTGTTTGCTTTGCTACATTCGGCTTTAGCACCTTGTTTTGCTGTCCTTGCCATGGGAAGCACTGCAAGACTGACCAGTGCCTGCTGTGTCAGACACTTCTGTGCACCGCCTCAGCCCCCCAGCCTGACCTCTGACTCACCCCCTGCTAAGGCAGATGGTTACTGTAAACACTGTTTCCTGCTTTGTTCTGACAGTGCCTCGCCTGAAGTGTCAGCGGTGTCTGCATCTTCCTGCCTGGGGATCCCCTGACACTGGGTGCAGGAAGCACTTGTATCTGTGCAACTGGGAGATGGGAGCTCATGCTGTGGCCGTGGGAACCCAACCTTAGCCGTGGAAAGGGGAGTCTATGGGTATGTGCTTCTCCCTTCCACCCCCCAGGTAGACGATTTTGTGATGCATTCTGACCTGCTTCTCAGAAGCTTCCAGCAGAATGGAGCACCAGGCAGTCATAGCATTGGTCATCTCTGCACAACCCTAGTGCTGGCCTTCGTTCCTGATCCCCACTTCTGTGCCCTGAGATCACTTCTTAAATAAGCTAACCGCGTGCGAGTGTTTTACCTTGGGCTCTGCTTTTAGGGGAATGAAGGTGAAGACACATGGAAAAACCAAGACTGTGAATATTAATTTTTATGCTTGATTTAAATAGAGCATCAATGTGCAATTTTGACAACACTGCTTACAGTATACAGTTTCCAAAAGGCCAAGAAGCGATTTAATTTTTGAAAAGAACTATCATGTTGACCAATTTGCTTTTGGCCAACTTGCTTTCAGATGATTGTTTTCTGGCCAAGATAAGTGTTCCTGTCTGCCTCTTCTTCCTTTCCATCCGTAAGCATGCACACATACACCCATGTCCAGGTGAGCACATGCAGGTATGAACATACACCATACCCAGGCACACCTGTGTGTGTATACATACCTCACATGTGCATGCATGAGGCACCTTTGCACACACATACAACAGCCCTCTCATACACATGTATGCACACGTATGGCCGTATACACATGTGCATGTGCACACATACCCCCATAACTGAGGACACACAGATGCACAGGTGCATTTGGCTCCTACCTTGACCCCCGCCTCAGGCATGCTGTGCTCAGAGTGTTCCCTGATCATTTTGGTCCCTCTGACTTAGTCTCAGGACTCTCTGCAGCTGCCCTGGCACTTGGGGACCCACCCTCATTCCTGCTGCGGGGAGCAAAGCTTGGGTGTCTGACCATACAATAGGAAGGGCTGAATCTGGGGATGGATGAGGGCTGGGGAGCTTGGCTCTGGGGAGAGGCGGGGCTGACCCCCAGGTGGTCGTGTCCCAATACAGATGGGTGCGGGGCTTGCGCAGTCTCCACCGTAACTGAAGGTGGGTTCTGGAAGATCAGGTAAAGTAAACAGGGGAAGGCTATTTTAGGCACAGGCTGGGGGACATATGATGAACAAAAGTACAGAGAAATACTTATGGGAAAGTGATGGAAAAACCCTACAGTTGCTTAAATGCAGAGCAGAATAAAAAATATCAGTAGAAATTGTGTCCTGGAAAGAAAGATGCATATCTTCTTGGATATTTGCCTCAGGCACTAATGTAGTGGGTAACAGTCTCACCCACCCAAGTGGAAACAGTGTCAGAACCTCAGGAAAAAAGTCAATAAGAAAAGAGACCTGGGGGAGCAAGTCACTGGCCCCAACCTGTCTCATTAGATCAGCTCTGCTGACACTAGGTGAGCAGATACTGCCAGCCTGTGGTGCTGTCTTCAAGATGGTGCACCTCTGGACATAATGCAGCCAGCCGCGGCTCTCACCCTCTGCCCAGCCCCCTTCTCACATGGGCAACTGAAGTTTGGGAATGTGGGCAAGAGAGGACGCTGAGGTGACCAAGATGACTAATGGTCTCCTCAGCTGGACCGCACTGTAGACAGGCTTTTTCCTGACTCTTGGCCCCTGACCTCCCCTTCTAAAGTAAAGAGCATTTACTTTAGAAAACTAGTAATTGTAAATCCTTTCTCTGCCCCTTAGAGATGTAGATCTCTTAAAAAGCTTCTTGCCAGTTTGACAACCAAAGAATGTCTTTCTCATCACGGAGTGGGGGAACGTGAAAGTAGAGCACTGAAGGAAGCAAGCAACACAGCACTTACAGACTGGTTGTTAGTTATTAATGGGGCGTTTGAATTTCACAACTCTAGTAAAGACGGAGGCTTGTCTGAAGTGAAGTCTGGTTAGTTAAGCAGACATCATTCTTGATACAGGGTTCCACCCAGTGATGTTTGTTGGTCACACACAGTGTCAGAAACTTAAAAAAATTAGTTGCCAACACTTAAATTTCAGGGGCTGTCCTATAAAATTTTGGGTTTCTGGCATCTCTTGGAATCAGACAATCTGATCACAGTAATCTGCATTCCAAAGTGCTGTAGTGACGGCTAGCTAGCTGGATCAGCTGGGCTGAGGCTGGCCGGGGCGGGAGATAAAGGGGAGGTGTCTCCATGGAGCTCCTTGTGTCCCGATGCCCCCTGAAATGCTCGCTGATTCATCACTGATCCAGTGCAATGATTCATTGATTCATTCACAGACTGTCCAGTGAACACCTACTATGAGCGAGCAGAACAGTTTTATTTTGACGAGGTCGGGGAGGGATTCCCTGAAGAAGTGACCGATGAGCTGAGTGCTGAAGGAAGAACAGGTCTTAGCCAGTTGTGCAGAAAAGGGAAGAACATTTTGGAGGAAAGAAACAGGTGGCACAGAGGCCCCTTGTTGGGGGCTGCAGAGCCCGTCCCCAGGAGTGATGCTTTTAAGACACAGACATTTGTAGCTGATTGTAATACTCGTATATGCTGAAAATGCTGTTTCTTTAAGGCAAATATGACCCTTTTCAATATCTAGCTAGGTGACAGTTCCCCACGCAGGGTCATAAACCAGTGTCTTGGTATTTTGGGATATTTCTGACTTTCTGGACCTTTTTGTCCAGTGTGGACTTGGAAAGCAAAACAGTGGAAAGAGTGGGGGAACGTGAAAGTAGAGCACTGAAGGAAGCAAGCAACACAGCACTTACAGACTGGTTGTTAGTTATTAATGGGGCGTTTGAATTTCACAACTCTAGTAAAGACGGAGGCTTGTCTGAAGTGAAGTCTGGTTAGTTAAGCAGACATCATTCTTGATACAGGGTTCCACCCAGTGATGTTTGTTGGTCACACACAGTGTCAGAAACTTAAAAAAATTAGTTGCCAACACTTAAATTTCAGGGGCTGTCCTATAAAATTTTGGGTTTCTGGCATCTCTTGGAATCAGACAATCTGATCACAGTAATCTGCATTCCAAAGTGCTGTAGTGACGGCTAGCTAGCTGGATCAGCTGGGCTGAGGCTGGCCGGGGCGGGAGATAAAGGGGAGGTGTCTCCATGGAGGTCCTTGTGTCCCAATGCCCCCTGAAATGCTTGCTGATTCATCACTGATCCAGTGCAATGATTCATTGATTCATTCACAGACTGTCCAGTGAACACCTACTATGAGCGAGCAGAACAGTTTTATTTTGATGAGGTCGGGGAGGGATTCCCTGAAGAAGTGACCGATGAGCTGAGTGCTGAAGGAAGAACAGGTCTTAGCCAGTTGTGCAAAAAAGGGAAGACCATTTTGGAGGAAAGAAACAGGTGGCACAGAGGCCCCTTGTTGGGGGCTACAGAGCCCATCCCCAGGAATAAAGGGGGCTGGCAGGACTGGAAGCCTGCACTGGCAGGGCTGGGCAGAGCTGAAGCTAACGAGGTGTTGGCCACAACTCTGGGGCCTCTGAGGCTGTGGGAAGGAGTTTGTCTGTCCTAAGAGCAATGGGAGTGTTTAAAATACTTAAATCAGAGGGGTGACATACTTGGATGTGCATTGGAAAAAATTACTTGTGTGCAGAATGAGTTGTAGTGGGGACGATTGAATAGAGTGGAAAGGCCATCGCTGTGGTCCTCGTGAAGGTGGTGACAGCCGGGACTAGGTGCAGACAGTGGAGACAGAACAAGCCCATAGATTCTGGAGGCATTTATGGGGTTAAAATAATAGCACCTGATGATAATTTAGATATTGGCGGTGGGGAAGGTTGTGACAAGGGAGTGTCAGGAATGAGCTGTGACATCTCTGGCCTGCACGATTGGATGGAATGGTTGAAATTGACACGGAGCTGGGGAATACCAGAGGAGGAACAGGATGGGCCTGGGGGATTGCAAGTGGAGGGGAGATGGGTTTGTTTCTAGACTTGCTGAATTTGAGCAGCCTTTGACACAGGCAGGTGGAAATGTCAGAGAGTTGGAGTACATGAGTTTAGTTGGGCAGAAGGTGTACTTTAACTTTATGTTTTGAAAAAATTATAGACTCATGGAAGTTGCACAAATAATACAGAGTCCTGTGTACACTTCACCCACCTATCTCCAGTGGTGACATCTTATCTGACTATAAAACAATATCAAAACCAGAAACGGGATACAGAGCCCATATTCAGATTTCACGGTACGTTATGTGCATTCATGTATGTGTTCGTGTGTGTCATTCTATGCGACTTTATCCCATGTATAGATTCATGTAACCTCCACCCAAATCAACATTCCATCCATACAAAGGAGCTCCCTCACGAGACCCTCCTATATTCACCCCCACCAACACCCGTCCCTGTCCCCTGGCAACTGGTAGTCTATTTGCCATCTCTACACTTTGTCATTTCGAGAATGTTATATAAATGGAATTATATAGTATGTAACCGATTGAGATTGATTTTTTTCACTATGCATAATGCCCTTGAGACCTGTTCAAGACAGTTGTGTATATTAAGTTTATTCCTCTATACTGTTGGGTGGTGCTCCATTGCATGGGGTACCAGAGTTTGTTTAACCATTCACCTGCTGAAAGACATTTCAGTTTTTTGCTATTGTGAATAACACTGCTATAAACATCTGTAAACAAGTTTTTGTGTGTGAACATATTTTCATTTCTTTGGGCTAAATGCCCAAGACTGTGATTGTTGGGTTATATGGTAAGTGCATGTTTAGTGTATAAGGGCCCAGCTGTTTTCCCAAGAGGCCGTACATTTTACGTTCCCACCAGCCGTGCACAATACACCCAGCTTCTCTGCGTCCTCACCAGCACTTGGAAGAGTGGGTTTTCTGCTTGCGCAGGATGGAATAAGACTTCCCTCCCCTACCCCAAATTTCTAGAGATGGAGACGAGAGAGAAAGGGACAGAAAGCAGACCTGCAATTACACAATTAAAAAACCTCAAGCGATATTGAGTTGAGGTTTCTTTAATCGTATTAAGGTGATAGAAGAGTATCAGGGAAGTTATATTACCTCCGTCTCCAGCACCTGTGCTGTGCACTAGCTTCACTGCCAGGACCACTGCCACTAGAACCACCACGACTACCACCGCTAGTATCACCACGAGTACCACCGCTACTACCACCACGTGTACCACCTCTACTACCACTGCTAGTACCACTGCTACTACCACCACTACTACCACCACTAGTACCACCACTACCACCGCTAACAGCACCGCTAGTACCACCACTACTACGACCGCTACTACCACCACTACTACCACTGCTAGTACCGCCGCTAATGCCACCGCTAGTACCACTGCTACTACCACCGCTAGTACCGCCGCTAATGCCACCGCTAATACCGCCACTAGTGCCACCGCTAATACCACCGCTAGTACCACCGCTACTACCACCGCTAGTACCACTGCTAGTACCACCGCTACTACCACTGCTAGTACCACCGCTACTACCACTGCCAGTACCACCGCTACTACCACTGCCAGTACCACCGCTACTACCACTGCCAGTACCACTGCCACTACCACCGCTACTNATTTTCCATTGGGGCTTGAAATTAGCCTGGGATTGTTTTCTTTTGTCCTACCAGTCCATCAATACTATAGGTGCCAACGGGCGCTCTTACTGGCTGGAGTTCGTTAGTTAATGGGGGAGCAGAAAGACCAGACCAGATTGCATGGGCCCAAGAATTGGACACTTTTTCATTTCCTCAGGGTGAGAATGATGATGCTTTTAAGACACAGACATTTGTAGCTGATTGTAATACTCGTATATGCTGAAAATGCTGTTTCTTTAAGGCAAATATGACCCTTTTCAATATCTAGCTAGGTGACAGTTCCCCACGCAGGGTCATAAACCAGTGTCTTGGTATTTTGGGATATTTCTGACTTTCTGGACCTTTTTNATTCTATGCGACTTTATCCCATGTATAGATTCATGTAACCTCCACCCAAATCAACATTCCACTCATACAAAGGAGCTCCCTCACGAGACCCTCCTATATTCACCCCCCACCAACACCCGTCCCTGTCCCCTGGCAACTGGTAGTCTATTTGCCATCTCTACACTTTTGTCATTTCGAGAATGTTATATAAATGGAATTATATAGTATGTAACCGATTGAGATTGATTTTTTTCACTATGCATAATGCCCTTGAGACCTGTTCGAGACAGTTGTGTATTTTAAGTTTATTCCTCTACACTGTTGGGTGGTGCTCCATTGCATGGGGTACCAGAGTTTGTTTAACCATTCATCTGCTGAAAGACATTTCAGTTTTTTGCTATTGTGAATAACACTGCTATAAACATCTGTAAACAAGTTTTTGTGTGTGAACATATTTTCATTTCTTTGGGCAAAATGCCCAAGACCGTGATTGTTGGGTTATATGGTAAGTGCATGTTTAGTGTATAAGGGCCCAGCTGTTTTCCCAAGAGGCCGTACATTTTACGTTCCCACCAGCCGTGCACAATACACCCAGCTTCTCTGCGTCCTCACCAGCACTTGGAAGAGTGGGTTTTCTGCTTGCGCAGGATGGAATAAGACTTCCCTCCCCTACCCCAAATTTCTAGAGATGGAGACGAGAGAGAAAGGGACAGAAAGCAGACCTGCAATTACACAATTAAAAAACCTCAAGCGATATTGAGTTGAGGTTTCTTTAATCGTATTAAGGTGATAAAAGAGTATCAGGGAAGTTATATTACCTCCGTCTCCAGCACCTGTGCTGTGCACTAGCTTCACTGCCAGGACCACTGCCACTAGAACCACCACGACTACCACCGCTAGTATCACCACGAGTACCACCGCTACTACCACCACGTGTACCACCTCTACTACCACCACTAGTACCACTGCTACTACCACCACTACTACCACCACTAGTACCACCACTACCACTGCTAATAGCACCGCTAGTACCACCACTACTACGACCGCAAGTACGACTGCTACTACCACCACTACTACCACCGCTAGTACTGCCGCTAATGCCACCGCTAATACCACCGCTAGTACCACCGCTACTACCACCGCTAGTACCGCCGCTAATGCCACCGCTAATACCACCGCTACTACCACCGCTAGTACCACTGCTAGTACCACCGCTACTACCACTGCCAGTACCACCGCTACTACCACCACTAGTACGGCCACTACTACCACCGCTACTACCAAGGCTAGTACTACCACTATGACCACCAGTAGTACCGCCACTACTACCACTGCTAGTACCACCTCCAGTACCACCTCCAGTACCACTACTAGTACCACCCCTACTACCATCGCTAGTACCACCGCTACTACCACTGCTAGTACCGCTGCCCGTACCGCCGCCAGTACCGCCGCTACTACTGCCACCGCCAGTACCACCGCCAGTACCACCGCTACTACCACCGCTAGTACCACCGCCAGTACCACCACTACTACCACCACTATGACCACGCTACTACCACCACTAGTACCACCGCCAGTACCACCACCACTACCACCGACAGTACCACTGCCAGTACCACCACCAGTACCACCGCTACTACCACTGCCAGTACCACCGCTACTACCACTGCTAGTACCACTGCTACTACCACCACTAGTACCACCGCTAATAGGACCGCTAGTACCACCACTACTACCACCACCAGTACCACCACCACTACCACCACTACTACCACCGCTACTACCACTGCTACTACCACCGCTATGACCACCATTAGTACCACCAGTAGTACCACCACTAACACCACCACTACTACCACTATTTCCACCACTACTCCCTCTGCTACCTACACTGCTACCCACCACCAGCAGCACTAGTACCACCATTACTACCACCACTCCCCTTCCTACCACCATGACCTCCACTGTTGCTACCACCACTATTGCTACCACTACGATCACCCTAGTACCACCACTGCCATGACCACTGCCACTAGTACCACCACCAGTACCACCACAAACACCACCACAAACACCAGCACTAACACCAGCACTATGACCTCCACTACTCCCTCTGCTGCCTACACTGCTACCCACTACCACCAGTACCACCATTATTACCACCACTAGTTCCACCACTACTAACACCGCCACTCCTCCTCGTACCACTAGGACCTCCACTGCTGCTACCACCAGTAGTACCACCACCGCCATCACATCACTGTTACTGCAGGTGCCTCCATGACACGGTGAGCTTCTGCTCGAGCCAGAGCCTCTGCTGCCCTTCAGACTGCGTCCCAGCCCTCATACGTTATAGCTTCTGGGGAATGGTCTCTTCCCCGGGAATGAGGAGGAGTCTTAGGATTCAGGGCTGCTGCTGGGTTGGCCTGGAATCAGCCCTGCCGACCCCTCTGTCGTGGGTGCCAGCGGCCGGTGGCTGTCACCCTCCTCAGCCCTGAGCTCCTGCAGAGCACCTGCAGGTGCCGGGCTCTGGCTGCTCTCAGTGAGCCAGGTCAGCAGGGGATGTCCAGGGGAGGACAGTGGCCACAGAATGTGCCGAGTAATGATGAAATGTGCTCGAGGCTCCACCCTGCTCCCCAGTGACCACCCATCTTGTTTGCACCCCAGTCTGAGTTCTCTCAGTGACTGAGTTTTCAGTACCTTCTGAGATGTCAGCC